GGATAATGAAACAATAAAAAGATTTTAAAACACCGTCGTCACTCAAATTCATCACATGCTCTTGTTCATATACATAAATATAAAACCTTAGTCAAGTTTTGACTGGACATTTTTCTGCAGAATCAACAAAACTAAATTTGACATTATGCATTAAAGTAATAATAATAATAATAATAAAACTACATTGTCAAGAAAAAGTGATGCAGCTGGTCATGATGCAGCAGAATACAGTAAATTCCTAACTACTGATTTCAGAACAGGAACACATAGGAGACACATAGCTCTGTTAAGAGCCATTATAGAGTCAATATATACAATAACCAACAATATCATGACAACCATACATTACTCAGAGAAGACATATTTATGATGTGAAATAATCCTAATATACCAGTGGAATTTCATTCCTGATGACTGAATCCCAGACATCAAGTCAAAGTCAAGTCTTGAGACTTTAGATCGTGAATCTACGACTCGAGTGTAAGTTGCAAACTAGAGTCACCATCTTTGGTCTCAAAGAAAGAGACACAACCAAAAAAAATAAATGTGTTCACTTCTGAGTTTGTGCACTTGTATTACTCATGAATGTGTCACATTGTTGGAAAAGTACGATCAAGGTTAGAGTAAGTCAGCTGTGATGTCCTCCTGAGGTGGTGAAAACACACTCTGCGCTTGTGTAGGTGTGTGTGTTTTAACACGTGGGTGACCAGAGACGGAGGAGCTCTGCAAGAGTGTGATGTACTTTAAGATACTAAATGTGTTAGACTGAAGTGACCACGTGAAGAAGAGAAAGTGAGGAGATTTAAAAAAAAAAAATTAAGTGATATGCTGGGAGGGGATATGTGCTGTGTGGATGTGACGAATGTGTGATTTAAAAAAAAAGAAGCTGTGAGAGTAAAGTTTGCGAGTGGGATGAGGCAGCGATGGTAAAGATGGGTGAAAAAAAGGCCATTGGGAGGAGAGGAACAAAAAGAAGTGAGCACGCCAGGGAAGGATAGAGAAGAGAGAGGAACATAGGAGTGAGGGCAATGAGCTGGATTGAATACCATCTGACAGGTCCAGCTGGGAGTTTGCCCACCCTGCAGCACCACAAAACCCCTCAATATGGAGGCCAATTACTGCTGCCCGTGTGACCGTGGCATGGCAGCATCAGAGATGCAACCCTCCTCCTCGCCTTTCCTTTCCCTGCTTTTTTTTTTTTTTTTTTTGTCGTGGCTCACTCCCCTCCTTGTTTCCTCACTCCCCCCCCCCACCACCACTCCTTAAAATAAATAAATAAAAAACTCTGCCACCATCTGTGCAGAGTGACAACAACCTCTATACCCTACAATGCATAACACAGGATCCACACCGCACAAATACATCATTTAAGAAAAAAAAAAAAAATTATTTACACATTCCAAGTTTGTAAGTGTTTAAATATGTTATTGACCAGAGAGCTTTGATGCCTTCACACTTCCTTCCACTTTTAATGCCGTCGCTGCAATTCACAGGTGATAAAAGCAACACTTGCATCCTAAGGAAAACCTATAGTTTTCTGTTGCTTGTGTGTGAGCTAGGCAAAAGTTCCATTCACACTTTGACTATTTATAGATCCGCGAGCGATAGGCAGTTTTTGGATTTTTACATAAAGCCAGCATCAAATGTGTCTCTTGTTGTGAAATGCAGAATGCAAAAATAAATAAATGAATAAAAGTACAATAACTGCGATGCATAAACTACCAGACAAAGTCAAAAGAGACATGAGAAACAGTGAAAACATTGCACAAAATAAAGGATACGGAAAGAAAACATGCATGCATTGTGTTAACATATGGGTCAGCGATCGTCTGATTTAAGGTGAGATCCAAATTAAATACTTTTAGGGCCTTGGACCCTCTCTTTTCATGATCTCTTACATGCACCGCTTTCATCTGCTTTTATTGTTCCCAGAGATGCGGTGGAATTTTGCTCCATGCCAGCTTCAGCTTCATCCCATTTCCACAGATCTGGGGCGTGGCGCTCAAGCTGGCAAGGAGGCTGAGTGATGATGTAGTGGCACCCAATGCCCACTGCAGTGGAGGTCACTCTCAAATTCAGCTCTGCGTGCAGCCAGAACAAAATCCTCTAAGTGAACGGTTCAACCGGTGAGGAGGAAGTCACACACAAAACATGTCTTCCATACATCATGCATGTACACAATGCCCCACAGGAGCTCCCTACTGAGGGATTTTCACCTTCATCTGTCCACAGTAATGAAACATTTTTTATACAAGACTGATTTGCTTTAGCTTTCTTTTTTTTCCCCAATTGCAATATTTTTCCCAACATCAAATAATCCCCACATAATTAATCCGATAAATGTTTGTTTAATTGAATAAAGGGGGATGAAACTGCCCAGATGGAGGGCTAAGCACACTGGACTTGTCTAGATGTGCTTATGTGGTTTGCAGTGAATCAGCTGATCACTTTAAAACAGTGAAACTGACCCATATAGGGTTGATTATTCAATTACAGTAATTGCGTGGAATTATTATAAACATTCACATGAACAGCTTTGCAAAGACTGGGATCCAAACTAATTGATTTTATGCATTTCAGACGTGTCAGTTAAGCCTATTTGTCCCAGATATTTAGAGTAACCACATGCTGTCAGACCTTCATGTCACACACAAACAGAACCGGGAAATTATAATTTGGGATTTAACTCAAGAGGCACATTTTAAATAGTATTAATAAAAATAAAGTTAAATATATATTTGTAACTTTAAACATTATTATTATTATTATTATTATTATTATTATTATTATTATTATTATTATGTGAAAACGTAAAGATTTCTAGCAGGACGCATGAAAACAAGTCTTCTTCTCCCCAGTTGTCAGCAAGTGCATGACCGCAAACTAGGAAAAAGAAAGGTCTTTTTTTTATGGGGCCACGCGTGGACACTCAACCTCCTATAACGGTGGAGAATAATGAACAGATGCTGAGTGAATTAGGAAAGAAACACCGGGTCCCTCCCACAAGGGCCCCCTTTGGCAGGGGCCGCCTGGCTGCCACGTGGCGCAGCTGGCACCGGGTCGTCCGCGATGGTGGGCTCTCCACCGGTCTCTGGCTTTACTGGTGCTCTGCAGACATTTAGCGACTTGGCACTGCGCTGCGCCATCAAATCTTCGTGCCACCCGCCGCCGGACTTCACTGGGGGGGAGGAGGAAAAGGCAAATTGAGAAAGAGCAGATAATAACAATATATGAGACGCGACAACCCGAAACCCTCAGCTCGCCCTCTCAGGCCTGTCCTTTCAATAAGAGCGGACACTCAGCTAAGACCCAGGATTTATTTATTGATGAGGTTTTGACAGCACAAAATGTTGAAATTAAAGCTAATAGACGGAATCTGTTTTAGACTGCTCAGCGGCTACAAGTGTCCAAAACGCTCACATTGGTCCCAGCAGCTGATGGAATCGTTAGCAGTGATTAAGGTTTTAATCTTTTATAGATTAAAAATAGATCTGTAATAGACGTTGCAAAGGGTTAATTCTGACAAATAGTTAATCAAAAAATTATAAGCACACCAGTCTTTCATCCCAGCATTAAGCATGATTGTCGCCTCTGAAGTAAATATTGATAATTTTGTAATTAATACTCAATCAAAGACACATTAACTTTTTTCACACGTTTTCTTCTGATTCTCAAACAGCTTCGTTGAACTCTAAGGTGATCATTTCATTTATTTAGCTTTAATGTTTGTGATTTATTTTCCTTTTAATCGTTGCAGGTTATTGGACCTTTTGTATTGGTAATGAAAGTCCAGTCAGCCTCGGGTCTCTTCGGGTTCCAGTTCGGATACTTTTATTGATTTGTTGAGGCCATTCGAGCTTTTACGCTTGAAAGAAATCTTGGCGGATATTACAAAGATATTTGAAAATGTTCGATCTAGTTGAATTTACATACGAATTTTGACGTAAATAAATCTGGCCCGTTTCGGAGCTGGACGGGTCACTTTTCTGTCCCCTGCGCCCAGCAGCTACTGATTACCCCTGGATGTCAGTGACAACACATGAGGCCCGGGGCTCCGGTCCAAAACATGGTGCCGGCTCCCGCCATTGAGCAATCACGCTCTCTAATCTGCATTCAAACTATCCGAAATGCGAGTTCAATTCAGGACCAAATTTATGCTGATTAGATTAATGGGAAAGTTTAGGTTTTATTTTAGACATTTGCGCAATTTCAATACCAAATCTGAGCTTTAGATTGAATTTTTGAGCCGAAGTAGTTCAAGTTGTGACCATTTGACTTTTTTTGGGGGGCTTTTTCTTTTAAATGTAAAATATATTAAATTGTTTTGCATCGCACCGTTTTATCGGCGCACTCACCTGATGAATCAGACCAGTTTCTGATCGGGATCAGATCCACCTGCTCCACCGGAGAAACAGCAGTGATGAAAAGGTCGCGCATGAGAGATCGCCAGGTCACGAAAAATAACTTAAGATAAATAAAGACTGAGAAAATCTGCACCGAAAATTGACCTTGCAGTATTTGCTCATGTTTTTTTTCTTCCTAATTCTAATAGCGGCTCCTTCCTCATAGTTGCACTCCTGACAGATTTTATAGGATTTCTGCGCATTTTAGATGCGTGAGGTCAGGTTCACAAATCTCACATATGTTTGGTGTTTTGGATAAATTGGAACGTTTTTTTATCTTCTTTGAATCTCTCCGGAAGCATTTTACACGTTTCCCTTTAGGCAACAAATTTGAAATGTTAAACTGGTAGTGCACTTTGCAGAATGTTAATTTCTTTTGACTTCTGCTTGTAAAACGAATCACCTTCATGAGCTTTTGCGCATGCACGTCGGTAAAATGCGCTTCTGCTAATTAGCGTCGGACTCCAGCTTATTTGTTGCTGGCTTGTGCGTATTGCACGTAAAGGATCTGATTACATTTTTGTCAAATGATTGATTCACAATCTTTCCGTAATTTCTGAAACTACGTATTTTGTAATCAACAAGTCAAGACAAACGTTTCTGTCCAAAATCAGTTTAATAGCGAATTTAAATGCACTTTAACCTTTTTTGCAAATAATTTGCAGAGACATTATTTGATCAAACATAAAAATAAAATCTCCTGCATACTTCCTAAAAAGATCATTTGACCTTTATCTTTAAACTGAACTCTTGATGTTTGATGTAAATGAATAAAGACAAACATGTTTTTTTAAATCTAACATTTCCTCCGGATACTCCTTAAAATGTTAATTTATTCGAATAAGCCACAATTTATTTATTTATGTATTTATTATTGTTCACAGCAAAATAAGATCGCTCCATTCAGACAATTATAAAACACCTTTTCTTTTATTATTTCTGTTGTTTTTGTCACAACATGTCTCTTCTTGACGTTCACATTTTAAATTGCATTCATTCTGCATACAGGAATAATTTACTGGACACATTTTGTGATAGGATGCACAACAGTATAGAGGTGACACACAGAAGGTAATCATGTAGGAGCTCCGACTGTTGTTCTTTTTTTTAAATAATAAACGCTTTCTTTAGGATTGTCTCTGTGGAGTCGGTGAGACCGTAGTTTGCTCCCCTCCTTTTCTGAGCTGCTCAGTTGTGGAAGAAAGCGTTCAGGTCTTCATATGGCGGCGCCCTGTCGTGGTGCAGGTGCACGTCGTGGAAAGGTGGGATGTTTTCTGAATGCGCGCCTCCGCTGCGCGCTCCCGATGGTCCAAAATGTAGGCTGTGGTTGGGCCGGGATGTGGTCAGTCCGGAGTAATGCATAGAATAATGATAGCTCCTGTCTGTGTCTGAGGACTCCTGCTGCTTCCCGGACAGGCCGCCGTTCAGGCACACCGGCGGGCTGTGCTGGCCCTCATACTCTGGGCTGTTGTAGTCTGGGGACGTCCCGCCCGGCATGTACACGGCCTCATACCCGGAGCCGCTGTAGGAATGGGCCCGCATATTGAGGGCTCCGGCTCCGGGCTGGTAGTGAGGACTAGAGAGGCGGGAGCAGCGGTAGGGGTAAGGGTGGACTGAGAAAGGAGAAGTGGGCATGTGGAAGCGGGCTCCGTCCGCGCACTGCTCAGTCAGGAAGTTCCTGGTGTTGAGCTGCAGGCAGCCCGCCACCAGGTTGGTAGTGGGCTGGGACAGGCCCTTGCACAACATCTGCACGTAGGTCACCACATCTGGACGTTTCCCGTTGCGTAAAATCTCCCCGAGGGCGAGAATATAATTCTTGGCCAACCTCAAAGTCTCTATTTTGGAGAGTTTCTGGGTTTTGGAGTAGCACGGAACCACTTTGCGCAAGTTGTCCAGCGCCGAGTTCAGATCGTGCATGCGCGTGCGCTCCCGCGCGTTGGCCTTCACGCGCCGCAGCTTGGAGCGCTCCATGCGCGCCGCCGTCATCTTGCGCTTCTTCGGGCCGCGCTTCTTGGGTTTATCCCCGCCGTTTTCGTCCCCGCACTCTTCTTCCTCGCCGTCGTCGTCCTCATCGTCGTCGTCCCCGGCCATCTCGGACTCTGCCCGGCTGCTGCCCTCCCGCGGCTCGTCCAAATCGTCCTCTCCGAGGTGGCACGGCTCGCGTTCCTCCTTCACTTTGCATCCGTCGCTGTCGGTGTCCTGCACCCAGTCCGCCGCCAACCGCTGGACGTCCGGCAGCACCTCGCTGAACAGACGGCTCAACATTGTGGCAGACAACCTGTAAGATACAGATACAGATTCGTTTCTAGCCACAATGTGTGAACTAGTATTTATGTTGACAACCAATTAGAGTAATTTCCTGTAGGCACCACGTAAATATCTCATTCGGAACCATTTGGTATCCATTTCCATGTCTCCCCCCTTTGTTTTCCTGCAAACAAACAGGACATTTCATAACCACACACCTTAAAATCATTTTTTTAGCAGGTTCTCTTTGAATTATGAAAAGAATCCATCACACGTATTCTTGCATTGAACTGTTTATTATTTCCTTTAAAAATATTTGATTATACTTCCATTTTAAACTATGGAGAAAATAAAGCAACTGGTCGTTTCCCCTCTTGGCCATTTTCCAATTTTGTAGTTTTTCTTCTTTATTTACCTGTTTATTTTGCTCTTCATACTCTTTTCTTATAAAATGAAGCCACTTTCACCTCTTACGGATTTATAACAATTTCATAGTTTCTACTGATTGTCTAATGTCAGGACATTTGGATGACTCTAATAAAAAATATCTACCAATAGAGATCAAAACAAGAATACATGGAAATAGATCTTCAGACAAAATACTCACACAGGCAAAGAAAACTAAACTGTTGCTTGGCTTGCATGCACCATCCCCAGGCCAGCAGGGGTCGACCAAGAGCTTTGAACTATAAAGAAAATTTAAAGCTTTCTAATCTGTTATTTTAATTAACAATGCGCCAGCTTTTTCATTTTGAAAATGAATGAGTAGCATTTTTTTTTCAACAGTTGTAAGATGTTTAAAATAAAATAAATATATATATATTTAGTTCTACGAATTGAAAAATGTGTTGGTTGTGAGAGAAACATATTTTTCTGTAATGTTATTAAACATACATTAATGTGACTATAGTTCACCATTTTATCATTCTTCCTGGTTGGGTTTGTGCTGGTGTCTTTACTGCTGTCTAACAAATGTTGAAGGCCTTTGTTAAGTTTGATAATTTGTGGTCCAAATTATTCTTTTTAAATGATGTCTTGCTTGTATGTTATTAAAATGTGTTGGAAACAATGATTTGTACCAAACAACCAAGTGTGGACAGTTTCAAAGACATGTTACTGGAGCTGATGTAGTGGGTTGTTGGTGACAGTGGGGCCCGAACTGCAATTCTGCACGAGGCACCAAGCAACCTTAGGATCGCCCCTGTCAGTATAGGACAGAAAAATATAAACTGATAGATAGATAGATAGATAGATAGATAGATAGATAGATAGATAGATAGATAGATAGATAGATAGATAGATAGATAGATAGATAGATAGATAGATAGATAGATAGATAGATAGATAGATAGATAGATAGATAGATAGATAGATAATACATTTAATAATGTGGCCTATTGAGATTTTTTTTACAATAAAAATTAGATGGTACAATATGGTTTGTTAACCAGGTACTAAATAAAACTAGATTTGTAAACCTAAATGTTAACGGATTAACAATATAAACTTCACTTGTCAATGAGTTTCGTTTCCTACCTGAAAAAGTCTGGTACGAAACGACCAAAACTAAATGGAGAAGGGAAAAGCACCTTTTATTGGCTAAGTCTCGTTTGGGCCAATGGACTCCATTGTGACTCATGAGCAAAGTTAGCATCTTTCCTCGTTGGCTGTCAAAGTGGATGAAAAATCCTCTCCATCCGGGCCACCAATTGACTCTTTGTCGTCCTTAAAAATCCCGCAGAAAAGGGGTTTAACCCGAAGAACCGGGTACGAAACGATCAGCGGATTAGCTACGAAATGGCAAAGGGGCGAAATGACCACTGCGGCCCTGTGGCTGTTGACGCACTCAGGTGTGTTCTGCAAAACGAGACGACGCGTTTTAACGAGCTCTGTTCTCACCCGAGGCCGAGACAAGGACTGGCCTGCACGAAAACTAGGAAAAACCCAGAAAGTGTTTAGATTTTATAGCCTCAGGGTGTGTCTCCGACTTATTCCAACAATAATAAGAAAACTGTAAAATAGTTTGTTCAGAAATACAGTTTGAAATGATTAAAAATATTTATGGAAAATCTTACATCCAAACAATGATTTTGTAAAAAACAAAAACAAAAACAAAAACAAAAAAAAAAGAAGAAAAAAAAAGAAAAAATCTGGGAAATGCAATTAGACCTGATTGCTTTTCATCCATTCATCGGGTGTTTGTTATTCGTATTAAATGTCTCTGTTCAGATTCGATAAAAGGTTCATGTTTAATTGCTTGCAGCGTCAGTCTCGGACGCTCCTCGGCCTAAACCTGCGTGAGGAGACGCGTCGGGCAGCATAAGCTTATTCCCGAGGGACCCACTCGATCTGCAGGAAAAGTGACATTAAAATTCCAGCACAACAAGGCCTCACAATAACGAGATCCAAAACATTATTTTTATTTTTTGCGCGTGAACGCATGCTTAAGGAAAATATGTTTTACAAATCTTTCTCGGGATTTCTCATTTACTTAAATTATTTGTGAAATTCCAAACAAACTCTCAAGAGAGTTTAAAAAATATTTTAGGATTAGAGCATTTTCTTATTTTAATAGGGAATCTCAATTTCTTAGGAACAATTAAATCAATTTTAAAGATAGTAAAGACTCTCCATTGCGCACAGCATGTGGGGCGAAATTAATCCGTAGAACATTGCTCTGATACTTGTAAGTCGGGCTCAATGGGAAAGTTGTGCATTGAAATAAAATTTTAATCCCTAAAATTCTCGGATCTTCTCAGATGTTTCCGAGCCCAGCTGTGCTTATGGAGTCCAAGGGTGTCTTTTTTCCCGTCCCTAATCTTGTAAGCACAATGTAATTAATGCCAACCAATACCTTGTCAATTAGCCCGCGTATCTCTGTGGAGAATTCAACCCCCACAGTGGCTCTGACGAGCGTCGTGCACGAACACACGCACACGCACACGCACATGCACCCATACAGCCATATAAATTACACCCCCGACGCTCTTTTTCCTCGAGAAAATAAAAAGCTATTTGGGATATGTTTCCAATTGTATTGATTTATTTAACTACAATCTTTTCATTTGAACGTGCAAGAATGCATGAAAACATCACTGATGGGGTTTGAAATGAGTTTAGAGAGATCCGCTCTGATTTATCAGAGAGACAGAGCAAACTGAGGCATTGCATTATCTGCAGGTATTTTTGCTTTGAGACATTAATATTCTCCGTCGCTGCAGGAGTAACAACCACAAAGGCAGAGCAGAACAGGAGATGGTTAACCTACCTCCGCGGTGGAGCTCAGTGACGGGGCAAAGCTGGTTTGTTTACACCATCTCTCTCCGGGTGGGCATCACATCCACACGCCCTGCGCGGATTCTGCGGGGATGCTGCGTGGATGCTCTCACGCCTGTGTCCTGCCTCTCCGTTTCTGTCTGGATCCTCTGCTGCTGCCGCTGCCGCTGATCTGTCTGTATCTACCGCACAAGCCGTGCGGAGAGGGAGCCGTGTGCCACCTCAGAGGCGGGACCGGGTGGGTTACATAGCAGCTCTGATGCCAAGCCCATATGGCTGGCACGTCATTGGCAGGAGCCATCACATGAGAGCCGGTGATTGACATGCGGCCGCATTCACAGAGACTGTCCCACCCCAGCTCCCCCACTCCCCCGGGGGAGAAGGACTCGCCATCTGTCACAGAGCTGAAAGGAAAAATGGAATAAGAGCGAGATGGCACAAAAAACTGCTTCTTTTAGCCGCTATCATTGGGGGAAACGGGGTTAATCTCAAATATGGGGTGTAGGAAAACAATCCCCTTACTAGAAATAATTATAGTCAGTCTATAAAAACATTTCTGATTGATCCTGTGCAGCTACAGCAAAACAAAGAGCGCCGTTGGATAATGACAACTCCAGGGTTATATGGTTTAATAATGTAAAGCAGAATGAAAAATCTACCCACTTTTGTCTTGGGGGCAATTTTAAACAATAAGATTCAAACAATAAATTAAAATCCACAATTTTCTCCAAACGTATGGAAGTCCACGAGAGCTAAATTTAATGCAAAGTAAAAAAAAAAAAAAAAAAAAAGAAAAAAAAAAGAAAAAGAAATTGTGCCAAGACGTAGTTGAAATTTTAAACAAATACACGCTTCAATAAATATTTAGTTGAAAAGCATGTGATTAATAAATATGTTGTAACTGACAAAAACAGTAGGTTTATGGAAGTGCAAAAGTGCCATAAGTAGGCTATATCATGAGCTACTAATAGTGAAAATATGTAACAATATGGTAAACAATTAGAAAAATATTTTAATAAACCATTAAACTAATGTAAAAATTAATTATTTTACAGACCAAAAGTTTGGAGTAGTAAGGTGGTCCAAAAATTTCAATACGTAATTAAAAAGGTAAACGACTGAATTACCTCACAAATATTTAACAAGAGAAATGTATCATTAATAAATTTGCAAAGTAGATGCAATTATTTCACTAGGCAATTATTTATTCTGATGCAATGCAGATTTGTGAACGTCTATAAAGGTCACAATTTCCTAAATTAAAATGAATAATTAAATGTGTCATAAATAAACAAATGCACATATTCAAATGAACATACAGAAAAATACTTATGTCATTAATGAATGACAAGTATTTAATCAGAAATACATTGTGTTTCTGATTAAAAAAAATACTTGTGAATATATTTGATTAGTTTGCAATCGTGTATGGTGTACGGAGGCCTATAAGTGCCCCAGTAACATTTTCTAAAATAATAATAATAATAATAATAATAATAATAATAATAATAATAATAATAATAATAATAATAATAATAATAAAAAAAACATTAAAACATTTTTTGTTCAGTTTTTAACTTTTACATTTACAAAATCCAGATATCACAATTTTGCTACATCCTGTGAATATGGAAGTCTGGAGGTTCAAGTGTCCCACATTTCAATAAATCCATTTATCCATCAAGAACAAGTTAGCATCCATCCATCCATCCATCCATCCATCCATCCATCCATCCATCCATCCATCCATCCATCCATCCATCCATCCATCCATCCATCCATCCATCCATCCATCCATCCATCCATCCATCCATCCATTTTCTGGGGGAAACCTTGAAATATATCTATACACATGTATCACATTTACTTATGTAATTATGGTTCAATTTCTTTAATTATGCAGTTTGATACCAACAAACATGAAATTTATTGCATATAGAATTATGATTTTTTTATTTTGGTACTTTTGGCACTTGATTAAGAAAAATATATATATATATATATATATATCAATACATAAAATATGGATCATGATCGTAAAGGGAAAGAAAACTCCACGATGTCCACTCAAAGGCTAAGGATGAAAAAAAATACCCGGGCTGCGACTGAGATCAGAGTCAGGGTGCAATTGCCTAAACGAGTCAATTGAACTGAGCTAAGCAGAGCGTCCTGTTTGTGCTGCCAGGCTTGGCACAGGTGTCATGTGGGCGGACGGTGCCAAAGGTGGCAGAGGCACAGATTGCAGAGAGGGAGCAGAAGTCAAGGAATAAGAAAGGGAATGAATAATAAGCGAGAAAGCCAGTGGGAGCGGGCTTATCGTCCCCATCATATTATTGATGCACAGTTTAGTAACTAAGGAACAAGTTCTCTCTATTTTTACTGAAGCAGACAAAATGTTCTTCCCTATTCTCTGATAAAAATGTAGCCAAGGCCAATGTGGAACAGGTTTCACACAAATATGAAGAATCAGCACAGACACTTTTCATTTACTAAATTAGCATACTTCCACTTTTCAAATCACAAGGACTTTCTTAAGGAACAAGCTCCAGTTGTCATTTGGTCTACAGTTAATCCAATAAGATGTTTTCTTTTATAAAACAGTCAGAAACCAAAAATAAGTGGGTGATGATTTGTATAACTGTGGGGACTGGTGGCCTGTCCTGGCAGCCGCTAACAAGTTGCCATCCAGTATTGCAAGGCATCATGGGATGCTTTTCATCAGAGCCAAAGATCCCATGTCCCTGTTGAAGAAATGCATGGATGATACTGATGACACATGATGCTGCCACTACCAGTATCACTGCAGGGATGGTGTGTTCAGGGTTGTTTTCTGCATTTTGCATGTAGTTTGATTTTATTCTCATTGAACCGGAACACTTTTATCTTTAAGTTGTGTCTCCACATGAATTGTGACAAAATGATACAATTTCTCGCAGGTTTCTTTTAACAAAGAAATGTTTTCTTTTTGTCATTTTTCTGAGCTGGTGCTGTCAGCAGCTCCTTCAGAGTGACTAAAAGCCTCCTGTAGTTTTGCCATTCGGTTTCCATATTGACTTCTGACCTGACTCCTACTTTAACACTTCACAACTTTATCCCAGTTATAATAAAAATGTCCATGTTATCTCCCATTTAATTCATCATTAAATATGAATTTTTCATCTTCCAAAAAAGGAAAAATCCCTCATTCACATCTCTAGAAGTAAATCAATTTGTCATACTGTTTTTCAAGAGCAAAATAAGAGGACAATAAAGTAAAACAAATAAAATAAAAAAAAGCACTTTTTTCATATTAAATGTAAAAGTAAGACATTACCAGGAACTTTGACGATAATTGCCTTTGTTTACAAAGAACATTTCCAGGTTGTCATTTTAGGACTTTAATATTTTTGATGTGGGTGACACCTGCTGGTAGCAAGAAGCCATTACAATTTGACTGGTGAGATCTATTCATAAAGACACAACTTTCCACGCGAGTGACTGGTGGCTGTGGAGGGACATGCCGTTTGCTTGCTTTTTGCTGATAATAATAAACAGCTTCGTGTTTTCGTAACTTTATGATTCCACACCGAGGAATTTTATAAACACATTGAGCAACTGTTATGCCAGCGTTTTTAACCGTGAAGTAAAATGAAGACACTGAAACAAACGCTAACTGTAAAAAAACGTAAATAACAAATCGTTGCCTTTTGGTGCCCTCTCGTGGTGACTTGCTGAAAATGCAAATTGATTAAAGAAATGTGCGTAGTGTTACGGTTTTTATTGCTCCTAAACTTACTGGAAAAGGAGTTGACTATGATTATGAAAAATTCAGTTAATAGTAAAAAAAAATTTCCCCCAATTTGATTTAAGTTTTGGAGTTTGGTGATCTGGATCTCCCTCTAGAATATCTGCAGCATTTTTCTGCGAATACTGAAGGGTCTGAGGTTCCACATGAAACTAGTGTTCTACATGAGGCCTACACAGAACAGCTGGAATGATATTACACAGAGCTGGGCTTTTTTCACATCAAAAAGCAGCTGAAAAGACCTGGATTTTATTGAGAGGTATCAGAGTAAAAGGGGCAAAGCATCAGTATGTTGCCCTATCTCACAAAATCAAAATAAGAATCATTGACGTTTATATAAAAAAATAGAAAAGTCACTATTTATGAGATTTATCTTGAAAAATGAAATAATAACTAAAGACAATAATGCTAAATATGATATAGATATGTAATGAAAACATGACCCGCAACTGTGTCGCTTGCGGAAACTTCTCACTCAGCTCGCTTCAAACGACATTTCCAGTTCGCCCACTTTGAGTTTTGAAATTCCGACGGCAGCTGAAAGCATCACAGAGCCCGGTTTTCTCCTCGTTATGTAGAGCAGGTCAGTAATCACAGCGGGACGTGCATCTGGTCAGAGAGCGGGAGAGGGGAGGGCAGGAACAGCGCCAGAGAGTCAGAGGAAGCTGGAGAATCTGCCACTTTCAGAGAGACTCGAATATTTTTATTCTGCTTCAATTTGACCACAAGCTGCACAGATAGTTCAGTCGCTGCTGCTGCTGCTTCGACCTGGGTTTTAAAGCCGGACATTCAGCTGCGGTGAGGTGACAGGTTGGATGCCATGGACCCGCTGCTGCCCTCAGACCCGGAGATGACGGAGCGAGAGGCGGACAAGGATGCGCGGAGGAAGATCCAGTTCTCCGTCCCGTCCTCCGTCCCTCTGCAGTTGGATCCGCGACAGGTGGAGATGGTGAGGCCCCTCGGCGTGATGTAAACCTGTGTTTGACACCTGCAGGGACCTTTAAATGTTTCAAGTTTCAAAGTGGCCAATACGGTATTTTTTGAAAGACGGTGGACCGATGTAAAGTTTACCGCGATATATTAAATTAAACGCAATACAAGCGAATCTCAGTCAATTGAAATAAATTTAAATATTTCAGTAATTCAGTTCACATTTTAAGTTACACAAGTTGTAAGTAAAACTGTACGCATGGCAGTTTAAAAAACAAACAAAAACAAAACAAAACAACCTTTTAGCCATTTTACATATTTTCTCTGCAAACCAAACAAATTAGTTGGAGAAAAACAAACAAAAAAGTTGCAATAAACTTTGTATCTAATTCTTTGCTGAGGCTCAGTTCACCTGGTCAGTTTGGTCGTTTGGCTCCTTTAGCTAAAGCCAGATGTTGTAGAGAGGTTACAACAAATCAGAAATGATCTCAAAGGTATCAGTCAGGAGAAGGAAGCCTAATAAGGAGTGGTTCTTTTAATTCAGATATATATCTAAATGTTGCAGGATAGTAGCTCTTGAGGAATAGAGGTATTTCAAAGAAAACATTCAGTCCTGACTAAAATCGCCTGAAATCTTTTTGTAAAAATGTGTTATGGCTGGATGAAGCAAAATGTAAACTTTTGGGCCACACTTCCATTACCAATGACTCCAACTATACATCCATATCACTTTCAGCCAAAACTGAAAGTAAAGTTTCAGTTTTGGCTTTGCAGAGTTATAGTCCAGGACAAAATCAGACAGAAAATTACCTAAAGACGAATGTGGACGATACATTTGGAGACCTTCTGCAAAATATAGTCGGGTCAAGAAGTTACTCAACCTGGCATTTTAATAAGGGTGTGTATGTAACGGTGGCAAATAATCAAGCGAGACGTTGTGATTGAGTCCGCAACATTTTCATTTAATGATAGTTCCAAAGTAACTTCGTTAGCAGGACCGCTACACAGCTGTCAGAAAACGAAACCGTCGTCTCCTAGGACACTGACTCCCATCCGCAGCCACATCAAACTGCGACACAACTACTAAATAACGCACACGCAAAAAAACACAAAACAGAATTAATCTTCCTCCATGAACTCCACCATAGAGTTATTCTAAACTATTCTAAGCCAAACTTTCTCCTTCCATTCAACTTTCTATTCTTATGGTAGGATACAACACCCATTAGTTTCTTTAGCAAAGACCTCAAAAGAACAAATGTGTATTTGTGACATGGTGAGGTCAGATCAAGGTCATAATAGCGGACATTTAATTACAATTTTTATTGGTAGTTTCAGATACTTTGCTGCTTTTGTTTTTGCAGGCATATTCCTGGTGCATGAGACTTTTAAAGAAGTTTGAGGTTAAATTGCTCTTACATAACAAGCGAGCAAGACTTCACCAAACTCCATTTCGCTCCACATTACCCTGTGGGCAGCAGCTCTAGGATTAAGCTGAGCTGTGCTGCCTTATAGTTTTTGGAGCCTTTAAAAGTAATGAGAGTTGTCTGCCCTTCAAAAGAGTGGAGGATGAGGAGGAAATGAGGGATAAAGCATCTGTAATGCTGAAAATGAGATTTGTCTGAGCATAGCAGAAGCACCATAAGCAGATATGTGAAAGGAAAGAAGGTCACGTTTTTACTCATGTAAATGGAGGAGCTGCTGTGTGTGTGTTTGTTATGTAAAACGAGCCTCGAGCCTGAGGCTGAATCTTTCTAAATCAAGTGCAGGTGAAACATGCAGGCCTTCAGAGGAAGAAACTGCACTTGTGTAAGATGATGGCCATTAATTGTGAAGCAAATTTTACATTTTTCTTTCGCCTCAAATAGTCCTAAGACTGCACTTTGCTGCCTGGAGCGAAACCTTACTGATGGAGACAGGTGCCATGTCAGCGATGCGTATAATTTTCCCTAAGTGGACGATGAGAAACTTTTCAAAAAAACATCTGTTTGGAAAGCTTGTTCTTTCCTGGAATGTATAAATAAACTAATAAATCAATCATCACCAGCCACTCAAATACTTCTTGCACATCTGCTGTTTATAGCTTGTCCCCAGAGTGTCGGACTACTTTCTTTGCCCCTTCTAGAGCAGAAACGTGTCATCGTTTGCTTTAGCACCCTCCAGTTACAGAGGCTTGCAAAAGTGGCTTCAATTAGTCCTTGGACTTTTTCACTTGTTGTCACATTAAAACCAGAAATAACAACGTTATCTCATTTGGATTTTAAATAATAGACAGAAGGAAAGACATAACTATAAGGTGTACGTTACACACTCTATATAATGTCAACTGCAAATAATAACCGGCAGAACTAACCTAAGTGGAAAATAGAGTCGATCTGTTTGTAATTGTTCAGTAAATGCTTCAGGTGGAGAACATCAGAAAACCAAAGATTACAGTTCATTACTCCAAAGATTGACTTGTGAAAGAACGTGGTTTTTGATCACAAAGTAGAAAAAAATATTACTTTTTTTTCAGTTTTTTTTTAGCATAAACTAACACTCCTCACCTTTTTTTTAAAGAACAGTTACACATGGATGGTGGTGGCTGCATCATGCTGTGGGAAGCTGATCAGTGATGAAATATCGATACAGATAAATGCAGATCAGTACAGGAAGAAAAGCAGTTTGATATACATACAGTTACAACTAAAACCGTGTAATGAATTGGAATGAACTCATATTCATGGGTTAAAATGGTCTAGTCCAAGGGTGTCAAACTCATTTTCATTTTGGGCCAAATCAACATCATGAGTGCTCTTAAAGCTCTTCAGTACAAATAAGACAGTTTTTGCCATTTTTGAGAAATGGTCAAAAATCAAAACTAAAATTCCCAAATATTAGCACAAAAAGTGCAGTGATTTGTTGATTTTGTGAGAATTTTCATGATAATTAAAAAAATTAGAATAAATAAAAAAATAGAATCTTTAGTTAGAATCTAGAGGGCAACATAATCAAAGTCCAGACCTAAGTCTTCTTGTGAACACGAGTCAATGACATGTATGCTGTCCATAAATCACTTTTTCACTATTTTGTATCACTTCATTAATGGAAGTCCTATTAAAAAAACATTATAAAAATGTAAAAACAAGAAGTATGAACACTTTTGTCAGACACTATGCTGTTATTTGGATCCCTGATTGAAATATCTGAACCTGATCTTTGGTCCTGTTTACATTCTCACATGCATGTGGTTCAGATTCAGTTGTTTCTTTTCACCTTGTTAGTATTCATTTAGTCTTTCCATGCATTTTTCCACCAATCGCTCAAGTCAGTTTTCCTTCCAAGAAAACCGTTTTGTCAATTTTTATGCTTCTCATCATGATTAATTGCTTCTGTTTTTAGCTTTTCATGTTTATCTTTTCATTTTCTACTACATAAGTTGTTTAAACTCCTGGTTTTCCTAGGTGATCTGGTTCACTGCCTTGACTTTCCCCCTGGACTGAGAATTGCCACCACCTGCATTTCATTAGTTTTGACTCCTGGGCCTCCGTTGTTCAGAGTTGGTTCATTTTCGTTATGGTTCGTTAACTCTGCTGCTTTGCTAAGCCTTGTTGTGTTATCTTAAGCTTTGGGAGGTTCATTGATCTATCTGAGTCAAGGGTGTCATTTTCTTTTTGGACCAAATCAAGATCATAAATGTCCTTAAAGGGCCGGTTGTGCCTGAATGTGTTGATAAAATCCATTAAGCTGTTAAAACCGAAATAAATTCTTAAAATTAAATATCTTTTCAGCCCCTCCATTTTGCGATTATTTTTGTGACTTTTTTGCAATAAAAAAGTGTTTGTGGTTGTAATTTAGAAATATCTGCACTTATGTATGATAGTAAATGACTCGTTTTACCATTATGGATTATAGCTCAACATTAATTAAAGCTCAGGAAGTTGTTTAGTGGAAGGAATAAATACTGCCACCTGCAGGTGGAAGTGAACTGTCACTTAGATCCAATGTTTTTCACCATTTTTGGAAAAAATCGCCAATAATCTTACAATTATGCATTACGTAAAAAATACAGGAATTTGTTGGTTTTAGGGGCCAAAAAAATGTTAGATTGTTCCCTGAAGCAATTCCAGAGGTCACTGAGTACGGCCATGTTCAAGTGCATGGAAGTTACTCGACTGAATGAAGTCAGATAGCAGTTCCAGGAATTTGGTCATTGTTTAACGCCTTGAAATGGAGCTCAGCAGTTTAAGCACTCTTGTGACCTTCTTATTTTACAATATATCCCAGTTTTCTAGCAGGCAGTTAACTATTACAGCATTTTAAAAAGAGAAAAAGCATTAAAGTTCAGAAAGAATCAGCCAAGGAAGGCTACAGATTAAAAAAAAGATTAGCTGGAGATGACTGAGGCCTGAATTAAGGGCAAGGGCAGTTAAAGACAAGAACTAAATTCACCCCAGAATATCCGAGAGCTCCAAACACGAACCGACGGGAAGTTTATTAGTTTATAGGAACGACAGAATATTTGTTTGGTCATCAGTTAATAAGCTAAAAATAAAAAACACAAAATAGCATTTTGCATGCATCAGAAATTGTATGAAGTGTTGAATAGTTTTATCCAGAAGTTCTGGAAGTGGGAATAATACTTAGATTTTCATTTGAGATGTTTTTTGATAACTAAAGCAAGTCACATGTTCAAGGAATTTTAAAAGTAAGTTAATAAATAAAGTCAAAAACTGAATACTTACAGCACTTATCCCTTTTCAGCATTCTTCATTAACACTTCTAGAAATGAAGTGAGAATTGCTAGCCACAAATGGAGAAAAGCGGCAAACCTTCCAGACTACCAAAATGACTTCAGAGTGCAGAAAAGATCACAACCAGAGACATTATTCAACAAAACGCCTCACAAATATTCAGAAAGTTATTTCACTGGTGCAACATTACAGGTTAAATACAAATGAAACTTTTGTTTCATCTGTCCTTTAACAGGTTGCAGGCTAACTGAACTCCACACAGGATTACTAAGAGTAAAATAAAAGCATTATGTGAACACAACAAGGGATTTATGCCTCCACCCTCGCATCTTTACTACTAAAGGGATTGAGAATCTCTCTAAAAGCCTCTTTTGGAACCAGTACTGACCCCACTCTGCATTTATGTTTTATAAGTGTTGTGATTTTAGGCTCTAGAGGTTAAATGTTACTCTTAATCATTGACTAACTCTTACTTGTTGCACAGAGTGTGGAAGTTTGATTTTAGTTAACAGGAAGATGAATAAAAACGGCAAACATTTGAGTAATCCTGTACAAAAATATGTGATGAAATGTCTCGATCCAACTGTCTTTACTTCAACCAACAACACAACAGTCATAGTGATGCACAGCATGTCAAAGCAGATGGGCTAAAGCGTAGAAATAAACCACAGAGAGACGCTTCCTGTCAGATAACGACAAAAAACTGAGGCTATTTGTTCACTAATATTAGGAAAAAACAGACTGCAAAAAACTTCACCTATTTTCAGCTGCAACATCCAGATCAATGGGTCAGAATTGGGTGTAAACAACATGAAGTAGTTTTCTCTTTAGCCTATGTAAAATGCTTCCGAGACTTAAAAATTAGCGTAAAACTTTGTTGATATTCAGCGAAAGTTGAATAAAGACAATTACGTATTTGTGCTGTTTTCATTAGAAAAGAAATGCAATTGAAATCACGCATTAAGACATTAAAAACCATGCCGCGTCATAATCCTTCTACCACTTCCTGTCGTGTTCTTCGTCTATTCTGCCAGTAGTAACATCCGATTTTTGATCAAATGTTTGATCAGACTTGTGTGATGTGAATTAAGAGATAAAGTTACGGTTTGTGAAGTACATTAATTGTGATTTGACCAAAAACCCACCTTGCCAAAACTTTACATTAATGTTTTGGAATTGACATTTTTTCATTAAGAAAATGTATTTTCTCGATTTTAAGGTTATTGAAAACGCAGTTATTTTCTCTATCGTTCAACAATTGTTGACCAAATCCTTGATATGTAAACAATAGAGCCCACAGTCCATGTCATAGGATCTAAAACAATATCTTGAATAGATTTTAATTCTCAGTTTTCCCAATAAATGTTTGTAAAATTATTTTATTTTGTTCAATCTTCCCTTTCTTTGCTTGGAAACAATCAGCGTTTTTACCCAGGACCTTTTTTTTGTCAAAGACTAACTGCTGGCCGACTGTAAAGTCATCAGTCTTTTCATTGATTGTGTTGCCAGAAGATAACATTACAGTATCAAGGTTTCCCCCGGAAAACTTGATAAGCCCGGTGGTTGGGCTCCAGGGTAGTTATTCATCCATCAGCCTGTCGTGTTTTTGATTTAAAAAATGTTTGAAGTTGACAAACAATTTTAAAATATCACTTGATAATTATATTTCACTAAAATATTGGAAGATTAATACCTGAACATCTACTGTAAAGTCTTAAAAAATGGAAGCATTTTAAAAAGACTTAAATAAATAAGCAATGCTGAGCCTAGTGGGGGCACAAGAAAAGCCTGGTGGCCCGCCAGGCTGATAATACGCTATTACAGGTCTTTTTTATTTGTCTACTGTCAATTTCTAATTAAAAAAAGCCGACCCTTTGACTTTCATCTGGAAGGAATATTGACTGAGTTCGGCAGTGTTGAAAACCGAGAAACATTCAGGTGTAGAAAGGAAAACGCAGGAAAACACAGGATCCTGCCAGCAGAATCCGTCCCGTAACCTTGTTTCTACTACATGGAAATGTGTAATGTGCTGAATTTCTAAAACCAAGGAAAAACATTCCACTTCCTGCTGTGTACATGTGTAAGAAAACACTTTACACAGCCTTTACCTCCCACTGGTGTTTTTGTATCTCAGTTTTTCACAACAACATTCAGTATGAGTTTGACCTTTTGCCTCCACTTGCAACAAAGGTCTATATCTCAAAAGCACTCAAACAGGCACTCAAACAAGGTACTGATTTTGATTTCTATTTTTTTTTGTGATGCTTTTAAATCATATTCTCAAATATCAGCAGTACATTAGGTTGAATTGCAAGATAAATTTGTGAAACGGAGGGAAGCAGAAGCAGTAGGAGGAGCCGCCCACAGACATCAGTGTACTTTGCCTACACTGATGTCCTTCCTTCTGCAGGTGTTCAAGCAATACAATATTACTTGTACTAACACTCATGTTTTTAATGTAGAAAACATTTAAAATTGAAAGCATTTCATGGACATTACAGCAATGCACTGAATCACTAAAGTGGGGAAACTTTACCTAGTTTATCGAGTTTGTCGTCTCTCTGCTAGGAACTATTTTTGGGCAAGTTGCTAAGAAAGAGCTGGATGTTTGTTCTGCACTTCATAAGTTGCATAACTTTTGTAGTCGATGACTCACGCTGCTTTGTAAGTAACAAATAGCTGTTATGTATCTCCTTGCAAGAGAAAAAAAAAGACAAGAAAGGTAAAAATCAAAGTTCCACCAGTGATAAAAAACATACAACAAAGCAAAACTTGTGTAGTGTTGGAAAGAACGGCGTTATAAACAAGATATTTACATTCTCATCGTCTAACATTAAATCAGACAGAATGTTTCCTGTTTTACGTCAGAATTACCCAAATTAGTTCAGTTTGTTATATTCCAGATGAAAGAGTACATTTTTAAATATTTTTTTTAATATAGTTAAAAAATTGGTGTGTATTAAAAATATTCAGGAGACTCCAGTAGGTTTTATTAAATATTTTGATTTAAAAAAAATCACATCTGTAGATGAGTTTGAAGGTTTTACCCTTTGCAAACTTTTGTAAAGACATCTGTGAACATCGACATGTCTGATGAAGACTTGGGTAGAAATGCCTAAAGATCACCAAGTCATTCGTTCAAACAATTATATGCATTATGGACGACATGATAGGCCATGACATCATTTAGGAAAGAAACAAGTTTGTGTTTTGGTGTGACACGAGAGCCCCAACTCCAGAACAAAAACCAAAAGTCCTGGTTGCAAACTCATAAAAGATGGAAATGTACGCAGCCTTACACACTGCAGTTTGATACAAGCAAATAAAGACAAAAAATTCTCTTTTTGTCTTTGCAAAGATTCGACGCCGGAGGCCAACACCTGCCACTCTCTTCAAACTGACAGACCCGCCTTCACCAGAGGAAGACAGCAGCTCGCATCAGGTATCACCGAGGAGTTACAAGTCAACCCACAGAACTTTTATATTAAACTTTAATCTTATTTCATGATGAAGAGCTGCAGATTTGATTTCTTTTGCTACTCTTTTTTTTTATTACACCATTACACTGTGTGGAAATTGGGTGTTTTATAAAGAAAGTATGTAAATGGGAGACAATTTTTTTTCTAAATTTAACCTCCTACTCTCGAGTTGTAAAGATGCAAAACATTTTTAGGAATGAACATAGAAAACATGTTGAAAAAGATGCTCTCTTTAAATTAAACTAAGGCTAATTTTTTTTAAATTGTCAAAATAATTTCAAATGAATTCGAAGATTTGCGACCTCCAGTCTAACTGAGATATTCAGAAAAGACTAACTGGTGGAAACTTCCAGATGCAGCTGTAATTTTAGTAAAAAGTATAATATTTAAAGAGGCTGAATGCAGGCCACACTTTTCAGATAATAATTTGTTGGGGAAAAAAAATTTAAAATTATTCATTCTGCAAGTTTTTTGTGTTGGTTCTACCTCATAAAATCCCAACTAAATACAAGTGAAGTTTGTGGTTACCACATGATAAAAGTTAGGGAGATTTGCAAACTTTTGTATGTCTGAAAAAGCAGACCAGCTCTTCTGTCCGATAAGTTGACTAACTCATTTAAAATCCTCGTTTTAATTTCTGTTTATTTATGAATTTGAAATATAAAATGATAAGTAAGTAAAATGATTTACAAAACAAAGTTTTAGTTGCTTTCTCTGCTAGACATGTAAATGATAAAACTCCAAAAATATTTTTTCTTTCTGTTGATTTACAAAAATAGCAACCTTTCCGTGTCATCCCTTCCTCTGCTTTTCATTCCAGCCATCAGTCACAAATAAAACACATCTCTGTTTTATTGTTCATTTTAATTTTTTGGATGTCATATACAAAAACAAGACAATGTTGGGCTGTTTTATCCCCCAGATGTTAACGAAAACATCTGTCTGCTGCGAACAGTGATTCTCATTCATTGCTTCCACAGTGGGTTCTGGGTGAAAATGGATCCACGAAAGCCAAACTGGTTCATATGGCGACTTACCAGCCACCCTCACTTAGAGGTAATTTTTAAATTATCTTGCAAATGCGTCTTCATTCTTTTATACATACCACAAACCTAAATAAAGAATCCAATGCTGAGTTGGAACATGTCTGTCAAAAACGGTCTGGTTTCTGTGTCACTTGTGAGAGTGGATCAGTGTGCCATGTCAGATTAGGAGCTAAAACAGCTGCGGGTCCATTCTGGATCATCCTGGATTAGGGGCTGCAGCTGCAACATGCTCTCTTTCACATGCGCAGATGTGCGGCTGTTAATGCTAGCAAAAATATTTCTCTGTTTGTTAGTAGGGGAATAAGTTTAAATTTCCTTTTAGCGTATCACAAAGACAGCAAAGTGATCTCTGTGAACTGCTGCTTTGTTGCTGGATGTTAATAATGTTGGCCAGAGATGATAAAGAATTGGGTCATGATTTTAAATATGAAGGTACCGTTTCCGTAAGGTTTTTTTGCTTCTTTGATCTAAGGCATGAAAATAACAACAACAAACTGATTCTTTAATTTTTCCATAAAATGAAGAAATTGGTCAAAAACTTTTAAACGCACTGTGCAAATCTTGAGGATATTAAGAAATCTTGCTCTTCTGATAGAAATGTTGCTAGATGCAGTACTTTTACAGCAGAAGACTTAAATGAAGATAACACCTTTGAAACTGAATTTTTACGTTTTGCTTCCATTAATGCACAAAGTAGAATTAGCGCTGCAGTACAGCAAGCTGTCACAGGAAGCTAGAAAGGAAGCTTAAAGCTAGATGTTGCCTCAAAAGTCTTTTTTTCTCTTGCTGTTTGGCAGCCATGTTAGCAGATAATTGATGAGCATGTATGGAGGACCGGAGTTAAAAATAAATGCAGAAATAAATAAATATGTGGAGAAGGTCAACACATGCACGAAAACAGTGAAACAATTTAATAATTTATTCATATGTTAGTAGGACAGTTTTTCCAAACATGCTGTTGGCCCAGGTTTTGTCTCTCGGGTTTATTTCATGATCTAAGCTCTGCTGTTTTGGAAAAGTACGGCTGGAGGACCGAATGAAATGATTAGCTTCCCTTGTAACATTGCAGATGAAAATAAATCGTTTTATAAGACATTAACGCTGTCAGTGATGAGCAATTACTGCTGATATGGATACCTTAATGAAGATAAGGTATTATAACTACGTTCCTCTAGCAGCGCATGTAGAAATAATTTGGTTAGTTATATATAATTATTTTATATTCAATATGTAGGGTAGTATCGCTTAGGTCACCCCCAGACCCTCTGGAAAGGTCATAGATCACCTGAGCTGGTCAGATGACTCATGTTCTGGATTACGTCATATATGCAGATGGTTTGTTTTGGTATTTATCTGTGACAGAAAATAGCAGCACTACAGACAAAGACAAGTTACATTTTAGCATTAGTTAGATGACCATGTTAGCTAAAAATGAACTTTTGAGAACAAAATCATTGCAGATAAGGGTGTAAGTATGTTTAGAGGTCAGTGTGTTGATTCAGTCCCTAAACAACGTGGTCTGAGTCTGATTGAGCACTCGAACATGGTAAATTCACCATCTTTCATTTTCCTCTTGTAGCCCAAACTTCAGAAACATGAGCCCTTCCATCTGTTGTCTGTTAGCGTGAGTTTCTGTTTTGCTGATTTGTGTTTGCAGCTGTCCAGATGTTGGCTGAGGCACACCTGAAGTCTCTGGACAGAGAAGCGCCCTCTTCTGGAGAGGAAGAGGAGCAACATGATGATGATGATGAGGAAAAGCAGCAGGCAGCATCAGTTACAAGTGGGTGGTTCACAGTTTCCCCTCTAATTCTGAAGCTTTTACTGAATAAGAAGTGATTTTCCATTTAAAACTTCTTTCACACCAGATCTAAGAGAAGAAAGCAAAGCTTCAACAGTTTTTTGCGAGCTGCTGGGAAGTTCAGCCGCAAGAGCCGAGACCACAGAACTGGAGGAAGGAAAGGGGGAATGACAAAAAGACGACAACTGGCCAAGAGAGTTTGTGGAGAATGCACATATGCAGCACATGCATGGACATTTTTTGCGTGTTCATGGGTGTACATATGTGCTTTTTAGGTCTGCAGGTGTGTGCATGCATGCAACAATGAAGCTGAAAGTGGAAAAAGAAAGAGCAGAGGAAACATACAATCATCGGGGAAGAATATAAATGAGCAGATATGGGTTAAAGTTTAACCTGAGACAGCCAAGAAAGCTGGAGATATAATCCATGTCAGCTGTAAACGCATCAAATCAGGAAGACCATGTCAGACTTTTATCTGTAGGTTACTTTATCTTGGCTACAAATTGTAAATTAAAATGTTAGTCCACATACACCAAAGTGCCACATAAATAGATTTAACATTTACATCAACTGCAATAACCGCTACATATATATGTTTGGTCATAGATGATCAGAATTTCACTCATTTCACAGTGGAGATGCAAACTTTGCTGAATATTTGCATACGAGGTCGATGGAGAAAAGAGGATGAATGACAGATTATCACATCTGCACAGCTGCCATATTAATAATTATGGGGACTAATCCGACCAATCATGATAATGCAGCCATGTTTATCTGCTGGAACATTAAACAACAGGCTTTTGTAAGATGGTCACTATAGCAAATGTGATCAACTGGCATCGGAAATCTCACACAGTTAAATAAATTACCTGAAGAGCACGAATGGTCATTTATTAATCTGTATATAACATATTAACCTGTGTATATAACTAATGGATTCATTCTTAATAAACCTATACAAACAGGTTGTTGCTTTAAGTGGGATTGAACAGACTGCCTGTAAAAATTACACAATAAAATATTTTTCTTCGTGTAACGAATGGTTGTATATTTTGTCTTTTCATTATTTAAAACACGTGTCAAACTGAAGGCCTGTGGGCCAAATGTGGCCCGCTATAGATTTTTATGTGACTCTCTAGATGCCAAATTACATGAATAAGTCCTTCCAGTTTTTCAACAAATGTGCAAAATTCACACAAAATCTACAAATTCTCACATTTTTACTCAATTTTTCTCAAAATTAACCAAAATCATTGGGCTTAAGTGACTGCTGCCTCGGCCTTGATGCAAAATGATAGTCTGTGATTGATAAGGCCATTAATGAAAAGATTCATGTGACATCACACATTAGCACAAATATGAAAATTCTTTACAAATATCTATAAATTAGCAGCACAAAATTTGTGATTTTGGTTGCTAAAAAAACCCACAAAAAAAAAAAAATTGCAAAATCCTGGATGGAACAATCAGTGAAAAAAGACGTTCACACTCACTGGCTGCTGAAACAAAAAGTTGTTTATTGATATTTTAATAGCTGAATTGCACATTCTGGCACAACTGGCCCTTTAAGAACATTCAGATTTTGATATGGCCCAAAATGAAAATGAGTTCAAAATCCCTGAACTAACACACTGAAGTACCAGTAACCAGAAGAAATCTATAGATTTTTATCTCCGTATGTTATGGTGCAGCCTTTACTTCTTCTCCGGTGGCTCTACAACCACTGAATTTTTGAAACATGCGAAACACATGTTTTTCTGGCTCTGGGAACTCAGGGATGCAGTTGGTTCAGGAACTTATTATGATCCCAAAATAACACATCAGGATGGAAAACCAAACCCATTATGACAATCTGAAGAAGCCTTTTGGATGAGAAGTGAAGCAAAACAAGAAGCTCTGTTATTTTCTGTCTGTATTCCAGAACTTCAGGATTGTTACTTACTGACTGTGAGTCTATAGGTAGAACAGGAGTGACCACACCAGGAAGGGTTTCAAGTGGGCTCCCATTAGACTTCATTGTTTGAGTTTGATTTTTAGGTGTAAAAAGCTGTAAAGTGTCATCTAGTGCTTAATTTATCCAATTGCACAACCTTACACACCAGAAATGCAGTAAAACATAGCTTTCTTTTTTATATTTGCTCTAAATTATATATTTTATTTATGCTTTTTATGTTTTCTCAGTATCTGGATAAACATATATGGAGCATATTTATATAAGCGAACAAGATAGACATTGCTTTTTAATAAGAATATAACACAGAATAGATAAAACTCCTTTAACTTTTACAAATGACACAAAATGTTTTGACAACTGGAGGTCTCTGTGTCAGCGGTAGTGGCCGTATATCACCAGCAGGGGTCAGTCTTTAACTGCGTTCCTCACAACTAAAGCTAGAGAAACTTAGAAAACATTTTTATCTTTGAGGATTATTTTTCTTTCTCCAATTACATTTAAACTAACTTCTCATTGCAAGAAAAAACAAATGTGGATTTATCTGAGTGCTCAACTTATATTTGACTAATAAGCAGCAAAGCCACATCTATGCCGGTGACCCCAATTAATCCTTCCTCGCCTTTGCGAAGAACACCCCAGTCACATCATCAACTCCAACCTGCATATCCTGAGGCAGAGTGTAGACTTCAAGCCTGATCAGGGTAAAACCGGTTTCCCTCAAACTATCACAGACCTGGGCTTCATTCAGGGGGACCACAGGGATCCTCACCCCTGGACCACCGAAATAATAACTCTCCCCCAGGGCTCCGATCAGCATGAGGTGGCCTCTGGGACGAAGCAGCTTCCCGATGTGACCCAGCGCCCTGGTGAAGGCGGGGAGGTCGGGGCTGACGCTCTCCAGGCAGAAGCAGGACACCAGGCAGTCGGCCCCGGTTGACGGGAGCGAGTCCAGAGCCACAGGCTGGGAGCAGTGCACGTCAACCGGGAGGACGTCTGACACGACCTGACGCAGCCGGGTGGCTTTCTCAGGCCAAGCTGAGGACCTGAAAACAGCGCATAACAATCATCAACTTGCATGCAATCAGGCAACACTGAGAGTGTCGTGTAATAAGCATTCATATGTGTTTTATTGTGATTATGTGTTAGAGGAGAGACCCAAACTCCTTGAATCATTGTTCTACTGCTTCAAAACACTTAAGTCAAATTACTGGATCATTGACAGGATTTTGTAAAACTTGACCCCACTTAGAAGTTAATTCATAAGTTTTATTCAGGTTTTTAACACCCCTCTCAGTGCTAAAAACCTAACACTAAAAAAAGGAATAAGAATTATAGTGCTGTTTTGCAGAGATTTATGTGAATAAATACCACTATTTTTGTGATTAAAGTCCTAACTACAAGTTAAATGCTCAGAAAAATAAAACTGAGCTGTTTAGCCTTCCTGTTATCTGCTGAAAGTCTTGCTCTCTCTCACTATTATGAAGCGCATCTCGGTCAGAGTAAGTAATGTGCTACTTTGTGTTATATAACTCAAAGTAGCACATTACTTAAGCTAAACGTTACCCTGTGCACAGAATTACCCGTTACTGGTAACATCACACAGTGAGGATGCTTTTATTCAGTGGTATTTAACCAATTTTAAACCACAAATTCATGATATTTTAATATTTTATAGTTCAACGCAAACTAGTGCATCATATTGAAGTGGAAGGAAAAAATATTCATAGTTTCCAAAGAACTTTTGTATTTGTAAAAAATGAGAGTTTTGGGATACGTCTCCACCAGTTTGGCACATCTAATGCCCAAAACTGTTGGCCAGGGTTATTTGTAAATTTCCTAAAGCTCAGTCCAAAAGGATGGTGAACATCTGTGAGCGCAATTTATAGTCTCAACACACGCTCTCAATTGGAATCCACTTTAATTGGATAATTCTGACATTAATATGCTTTACATACATATAAATAGCACACTGTCTGAGTTTTTCTAAGTTTTCCCTTCAGTTCCTAACATTGCACTACTTTGCGTTGGTCTGCCGCATTTAAACATGAGGTAGTAATCTGTCAAAATATGCAAATCATTTCTTTTTATCAAGACACTTTCATACCGTCGGCCCTCCAGCTTGCAGACATGTTCCAAGTAGGGAGTCCAGTCCAGGCTGCATCCTCCCTCATCCTGCAGCCAGCGCCGCAGCTCCCGTCGGTTGATCTCCAAGAAATCTGTCAGGATCACTTTGTTGAAAACTTCACAGCCACTCATCACCTGATAAAAAGTGGGACCTGATCCGATGTCCACCAGGAGCTCACCGCTCACATCCCCTGGGAGGAAGTGGGAGAAGAAAAAAGAAGCACAGTTGCTGCAGAGACGCTTTAGAGTAGCACAAAAGTTCAACATTTCTTAAACACGTCAGATATGATTTTAGGTGAGTTCTGATCAAACCGTAATAACAGGTTAACTTGAATGTTTCTATTCGCACAAAAAAAGTACAAAGACGCTGCATTAAAACTTTTGACAGTACACAAAAGTTATAGTGAGATGGTGGCACATCAGTACTATGGAAATTACTTTATGACAAACATATTACCTTCAGTGAAAGCTCTGTGTAAACAGGCCAGTTTCCAAGGCACTATGCTGTCTTTTCTCGCAAAATCAGCGCGTGGTGGAGTGTAGTTGTACTGCAAATATGCTGCAGGATCAAATTTCTGGTAGCAGGTGGCCATAGCTGCGATGCTGTTCTCTTTTCCCTTTTCCTCCATCATGTTTCCTCACCTCTGTCTTTACAGTCGGTCCGTGTTCAGGTGTGCCGCTGCCACTTGAAAGTTGACTTTTATACCTGTGTGTGTCAGTGTATCCATGCTGTTATGTGTGCGTATGTGCTTCGGGCCACTCTTGCAGAGATAGCGATCCTGATTTTTTTTTCTTTTTGGCCCATGCAGCCTGATAGCATTTGTTCACTTGCTCTGTTTTCTGCCCTGCAGCATTGATACCATCAGATCAGGGGCTTTCCTCCAACACGACACCCATTAATGCACTACTCTTACAGCACTTCAGGTCCTTCTCTGCAGTCAAGGAGGTACCTTTAGAAAACAAATGACTAATTTCTTTCTCAGTGAGACATTATATTTGACATTCAGGTACAATATGTAGAGTAAAGAATAAGTTCTCCTAGATGCAAGTACATTTGTCAACACCAAAAAGCCTGCACATGTTAATGATGAGGACTTGAAAGCCAAAGATGTCAGATCACCATAAAACAGCAACATAATTTCAAAGTTCAATAATATTCCATCTTGCTTTCATTTGGGGTAAGACAAATATTTCATACCCTCTGTTTCTAAGAGAAATACGTTTGAATGTCATTAGCGTAACAACACATCAAACTAGTTTATTAAACCACAAAATACCAAAACATTGCTCAAGAATGACGAGTTCCTCATTCTTTATATCTATACGTCTAAAATAAAACACACTTCCTACCTTTTACTTTGTGAATGCCATCCCTTCCCCTTGATGTTTGGTTTGAACAGAACTTTTCCACACACAGATGGTTTTTCTCACCAGGAACAGTGTGGTTGCTCTGATCTTTTTCCGTTATTAACTGGGTAACTGGTCAGTTTTACCTTATCTGGGGGTGTTAGTTCTGCCACCCTGTGGCAGCTTTATTACAGGATTGTTCCCACCTGCAAAGTTACTGTAGGAAAAAACGAACAATTGAGAAATGCTCAAATTCTGTAGAACCCTAACCCTAAGATTTATTGCATTTGTCTCATACTTAACTTTAAAACTACTCAATCGTTTCTGACTTTTGTGTTAACACGTTGCTTTAAACCTTTAAGGTCTTGAACCATTGTTTTTTTTTGGAGAGTGGAGCGATTATGCAACTCTCGTATTCAGATTCATAATGTGCTTATTCCCAAACCTGTTTGGTCTTATTCTGATGGAAAACTGTCCACAGTGAAGCAATCTTTACTAACCTTGGCCAAGAAAAAAGCCCCTGCTTCTAGCCTTGCAGCTTTAAACTAGATGACCAATGTTTCTGGAGACATTTTTTTTTCTCAATGATCCGGTTTTTATGTTTTGAGTTATTTCTGCATTTTGTTATTTAGCTCTGTGTTTCTTGAGCATTTATCTTGCTCTACTTGCACTCATTTTTCATTTCTCCCGTGTTTTTGTGTCTCTCTTTGTGCCTCAGCCCACTGCTGCACCACATTCAGTTCCTGTTGCCTGTCTGGTTTTACCTTGTTGACTTCCTTACATACCACCTGCTTGAAAAGTTCAAGTTTTTATTTTCAATAAATCACATCTTGGGATCGGCACTAAACTGAATCTTGGCTCAGTTTTAATGTGAGACGAGACAGAGATTTAAATATTTCACAATAAGAAGTATGGATCTGTCAAATGAGGGTTCATATCTGAACATGATGAACTGTCAAGCATAATGATCAAAGTGAGCATTGATCTTTAAGACGCCATCTTATTGAACACTAACTTACAACTCTCATTAAATCACAAGCTTTATTTTTTAATGCGGGTGCATGGAGAAAAGACTCAGAAAATTAATATTTCACTACTCCATTGCAAATGTATTTATCTTTATATTATGAATATTCTTCGTAAGCAGGTGTGATACATTTCTGTTCACACATTCAGTGTTAAGACTGATTGTATTCGGGGGGGTCAGAGAACAAGTAACGATGAATATTACACATAATTACAGATAAATTAATAATTTCATTCTAGAGGAGGCACGAAGAGCTGTAAAAACAAAACAATTACCAACCAGTCAGAATCAAAATGGACAAACCTGCAGGTAAACTTTGTGGAAAAACACACGACGTGGCTGCGTGCGCAGTCACACGGACGCGGACCTTCACAAACAAATGTAGTTAGTAGATTAGAACGAGGCAGGAGAAAGGTGCAGGGCAGTTCCTTCCCATGAGTCAGATGAAAAGATAAAAGAGCAAAGAGGATCACAGAAGAACAGATAAAGGGTAAAAGCAGGGAGCAGAAAAAAGAAGCAGAGCTCATATAATGGAATAACACACATTTAACCAGAGCCAGTGGAGCCAATTTAGTTATCTGTGGTCCCAGAGGCAGCGAGTGGGGGGGGTTCGGCTGTGTCAGTCAACTCTGCTCCGGGTTACTTTTCATGTAGCCGCAGCAGGATGGTGCAGGTACACAGGAAACTTTGATCAATTTGACTTCTTCATCGCCACACAGAAGAAATGAAAGGTGGTCAGTTTCTAAAAGGATTAATCAGGATGACGGGTCTGAGGTTCTGACTTTATTTTAAAGTTTATTTCAGTGAGCAGAAGTGCACTTTTCAGAGAAAAAGTTGCTTAAAAAATACAGCAAGCTAGAGAGTGAAAGGAGGTGAAAACTTTGAGACTAAACATTGAAGTCATCTAGACAAACTTGAGGTTCACTGCAAAAGTACTTTTGCAAACTTAATTTTTTCTGATAGAACAACACCATGAAGCGGGGAAATAACGTTGTACAATTTTTCTATAAAGTTTAAAAAAAGTGTTTTGAATGTTGATTCCTGAATTAACATTTAGTGGAAACGCCTGTCACTGCGGTTACACCAGGAGGTCTTCCGAAAATCTGTTCAATTTAAATCTGGACTTTGACTGGACCATTTTAATCTAAAGCATTGCGTTGTGGCATTGCTGAGTTGTTGGATAAACCGTTGCACCAGTTGCAGGTATTTTGAAGCCTCCAAGAGTTATTTATTTATTTTTTTCAATTACAAAGTAGTTTTTTTTCTGTACTTAAATTACACACACAAAAAAGGTAATATGTGTAGTTGATTGGTTGCACTTTATTTTAATGCACAGATTTTACTTTTTAAAAATAAATCAAAACAATTTCCATTCCAACTTTTAATTGTTTCTGCTTTCAATTGACCTTCCATATACAATCCAAGTATAAATACATTGGAGTTTGTTGATATAAAGGGTCAAAATGTGATGAAGTTCAATAGTTTTGCAAGTCACCATAACATCCTTTTGCATCTTGCAAGAATTGTGCGCAGAAGCAGTAACTCACTGGAAAGATCAGATCATAAAACAAAGGAAAAAATTAAAATCTCAATAAATGGGATCTTAATATCTTGTTCTTGTACTTAATCCTGTACACACCAACCCAATAAAAGTTACATTGGCCAGCAAATCTTTATTGAGTCTGAAAGACATTATTTCAATTGAATAAAGTTGATTTATATTGCACCAATTATGAAGAAATGTTATCTCAGAAGAGCCAAACAGATCCAATTCATACCCAGTTACATAAACACACATCATTCAGTTGCTCTGCCTTCTGTTTCTGATAGTATCCTAAAATATTGTTTTTCTTTTTTCTGGTTGTTTTACAAAATGCTGCTATTGTCTTTCTTACTTTGGTTTTTTAAAAGACATTTCTGCTCTTTTCACCTAGTTAATAAAACATAATTACTGATTACATAGAAATTACCAATTTTTTTCATTTTTAAAATGAGGCTGTTTTAAAAAGTTTAAAGCAGAAAATGCCATCATTTGTTTCCAACAAGCATGGTAAAAACCTGTAAAAATATTTTCCAAACGGTTAGACAACGTTCACTGAGGTGACCCAATTTCAACCTGGATGTACGGTCACATTTGAATTGGATACGTATCGGATATCGAAGCGTCATAAAAAGATGAGACACAGGTGGAATTACGCAAAGAAAATTGGAGTTGGGTCACTTCAGGCTGCAGCGTAGACACAGCTTTGGGTTAATCAGCAGCTTGTATTGTTAAAGGGAGGAGTTACTGACATGTGGGGCTCCCCTCTGCTGCTCACTCAACACTGTCAGTCATGGAGAGAGAAATAAATGGTCCAAGAAGGTGTAGAAGATTTGATCAAAACTTCAACAGGAACACAAAGTCCGTAGTGGATCTTCAGAAGTTTAAAGTAAGAAAATACCCTTTTTTATTTGCACTTTATTCATAAAGGAAGTCTTTAAAGTTTAATGTACATGTCACATCATTGATTACATCTCCTTCATTTTAATAAACACATTTGATCAATTTTCATTACATAATTTCTTATTTTAAATAGCTGCATATATGTTTATTTCTCAGATATAAGGGAAGCTGAACATGCTGCTGCAAAAGCTGAACTTGTGCTCAAAACTTTCACCACAGAGATTCCAGTTTCTCACCAAACATCTGACTCAAGGCAAGACTAATATTACAATCATCTGTTGAATTTGTGTGAACATTATCACAGCAAAGTGGGACAACAACAATCAGATGAAAAAACAAAACAAAAAGAAAACAGCTAATTTAAATAATTACTTAATAACTCTGATTTATTAAGTTTGGTTTCTAGTTTTGTCAGATTGTTGGCTTAAGAAATTTTATATAACAAATGTTGACCTTGAACTTATTTATCAGTTGCAGTCTAAAATGTTTTTGTAGTATTTTCAGTATATTAATCCTAAAAAGTTCAACGTATTATTTTAGTCTCTGTAAAATAATATTGTGTAATGTACATACTTCAGAAAATATTGAAATTTTATGGAAGAAATACTAAGTGATGTTAAACTAGAAGATTCGAAACATGTTTTTTTAAATGAAAAATGGATATACAGATTAATTCAGTAATATTTAAATCATGCCCCTTTATAGGTTTTTGTGTCCACAGAGAAATGTCTGATAAAGTTTGCTCTGGGTTTGTCCCTCGTCCCTGTCCTCGTCCACTCAGGCGCCTCATTGGTGCAGAAAGATGTGTGGTGTCAGCAAAGGCTTTCTGTCTGCTTGCATT